CTCCCTTTCTGTATAAATTTTAAACCACGTCACTTAATGTTGGATTTTAGGTCTAGGACTAAGTTTAATTTATTACAGTACTAGTAAGATTCTGAGTGTCGCTTTTTTTAATGGACGCTTTGTTTACTTGAAGCAGTAGCCTTTTGAGAGGGGAGAGAGTGCTTACAAATCCATGATCACACGTTTTGTGGTTATTTTTTTACTGCCAAGTTATCTGTTCCATACTTGAGTGCCTGTGCTGAAATAGTGCAAACTATTAACTGGTCAAAAGCAATAAATCACAGAATTATAACATGTTGTTACTTGAGTCAGACAACCACCATTTCTAAAAACACACTAGCTAGCAACTGTCTGTGACTCTACATAAAACCAAGTGCAAAGATGAATCTGAACTTTAAGCTCCTGAAGGAGAAATTATTCGACCACTGGACAACCTCCAGAGGACTACCTATTTCTGGAAATGGACACAGTACCCGACCAGGCAGAGTATGAACAGTTGCATCTTAGTGTTATGATCATGTTCAGTGGTGAGAGAGTGTTCAGTGTGATGCTCGTTCACAGTTTAGTAACCATACCATGCCGTACTGCACTCTCTGATGGAACAGCACCTACAGAGTGTCAGAGGGCCACTAGTTGTTTGAATACCTTGCCACACTCACTGTAGGTCACTGTTTGTGAAATGTTTCCCTTGTTTGAATGGGAAATTGAGGAACAGGATGGGAAACCACTTCAGAGATACTAGGTTAATGTCTATGTTATCTAGCACAGGTAGCCAGGTTAGGGCCATTCCCTGCTAATTATCAGGCCATTCATGAGTTGGAGTTGGATGAAACAAGGCAGTGTGTCCCCAAGACTAGAGTTCAGGACACCCAGAGCAAGAATATCTATGAGTAATTTGGGCATCATTTTTGATTCTCAACTAAATTTCTTAACATGTATAAAAAAAAGCTTGTACAGGTCTGTTACGTTTAATTGAGAAATATAGCTAAAATCAGGAAAAATGCTTCCTTTCATGATACAGAGAGAATTATTCATGCTTTTATATCGTCATGGTTGGACTATTGTAATGTTTTATTCACGTCTTAGTCAAGGAGCTATGACACGGCTCCACTTGGTCCAAAATGCTGCTGCTTGCTTACTAAAAAGATCCAAAAGAAGGGAGCATTTTACATTAGTACTGGCATCTCTGCATTGGCTGCCTGTAACTTAAAGGGTGCATTTTAAAATTTTGGTTGTACCATACCAGGTGTTGCGTGAAGATGGATGTACTTCTGAGTTGTTAGTTCTGTATTCAAATGTTAGGGCACAGAGGTCCTCCAGCCAAGGGTTCTTAGTAGTCCCTTGGACTAAGCAATTAAGCTTTCTAAGCTAAGATTTGTGCTCCTAAGCCATGGAAAAGTTTGCTCTTAGATATAAGACTCGCTGGATCTAAGAAGCTGTTTAAGACGAGGCTTAAGGCACATCTGGATGCATTAGCCTTTGTGATTGGACACAGCTAGTTTTCTGTTTTTGTGGGTGATATTTTAATTATTTTTATTTTAATTGTTGCAAAGCGCTTCATAGTATGTCTTGAAAAAAGTTCCATAAAAATAAATGTTTACCTACTTACTACACTGTTTACTTACTATGAGTACTTGTCCAAAGCAGTGGGTGTCAAACTTAACCAGTATAAGGGCCATATTAAAAAATCTCATCAAAGCTGTGGGCACAATGTTGTGCTATAACCCAAAGTGGCCATTGTTTATTAAAAAACACACCAAAAGTTCAGCAGTAAAATACAGATACTTGTTATAGACTTTGAAATATTACATATCACATACATTTAAATGTCCCTAGGTGTTTGACCTTTTTGGTTGAACTAGACACCTGGCATCCTTTCTTTGCTGCAAGTTCATTAAGACTTGGGCTCAATTTCTGAGCTGCTGGGCTAATGTAAAGTGTTTTTATTGGTTGACCTACAGCTAAAATGCATTTTGGTGATATGACTGTGTGGAATTGCGCAGAATTGTGTAGAACTGAGGTGTAACTGCTGTCCCATAGACTGTTGTTGAGGTTGTAGAGTTGGAGCACACTACGTTGCAGTGCATGCTGGGGACTGTAGTGCAGTGCATTGTGAAACAGACTAATATTAATAGAAAATTAAAATACTTCTGTGGGCCTGATCTGGCACATGGGCCTTGTGTTTGACACATGAGGTCTAAAGAATAGCTATGATAGCTGCTTCCTGCAAAATGTATAATGTGATCTGATGATTCTTGAACAGTGTTTACTCACCTGTTTGGTATTTTAACTGCCAGTCATATAAAAATAAGCTTGCAGGACAGTGCTTCATCTCGAAACATGAAGTTTGGTGTCACTCGCTCTCTACACTTGTTACATTGGAATCCTACAGTTCAAAGTATACACTGCTGTGATTGGTGGTGTCCTTGGCAGATATTCATTGTAAAACATAGTCTAATCATTTATACAGTGCAGCAAGACCTTATTTCGCTGTACTGCTTCACTGGCTTTGCACAGTTATGGTCACTAGAAGGGAGGCCCTGCTTAACACTAGGGTGGCACTGGCCATCGCTTGCCCACTATGCTGCCCCTGAAGTTATGTAACTAATACCAATCCTAAAGCTTTGTTTAAAAAGCACCATCATAGACTACTGCTGGGACTTTATATGATCTATTATGTAATATACTGTATATTTTATGCATCCCCTACACTGTAAAATGTGTCTAATCAGATCTACTTAAAAATATATATATATATTTATTTAGGTTGAATAAAACTAGTTAATTTACTTGTTACCACATGAAGTAATTTATTACTAATTTACTACTACTACTACTACCACTACTACTACTGACGAGCCACCTTTTACAGTATAATTTAAGGGGTGTTATGAACAAGGATACCACTATGCTAAACCTGAGAGTTTGTCACTGGCTGTCTGTCAAAGGGAAGGCAAGGGAGGTTCAGCCCCCTCAAAAAATATGCTCGTTACTCTTTTTTACATTTAAAAATATTTGCTTTTGTTTGCTGAACTCTTCTATGCGTGGTATGCAAAACTAAAAATTGTTCAAGTTAAACTGAAACCTAGAACATCCTCTGATCAAGAAACTTACAAATTAGAATCTAGATTCAACTTAACTGACTTCATTTGCTTCTGCAAACAAAAGCTGCTAAAGGTAACTCAAATTTGCCTCCTTTCTTATTAACAGCCATTATCTTATGAGCCACTCTACTGCAAGTATCATTTTAGTGAGTACTGGCATCACTAGACTGTCTCAAGTCTGATTCAAAGCAAGCTAACATGGCTGTGACCTTGAAATACTTTACAGAAAATAATTTTACAAGCTGCCATTTGAAGCATACTATTTGAAAAGCTGTTCAAAGCATGCTATGAACACAGGACTACATAAAGAGTGAACAGGGTTGGGATATAACAGAATGCAAGTATCGGGAATACGTATTCAGAATACAGAAATTAAGTATCTGTATTCAGCGCAAGTTTTTTTTAAGGCAGCACTCAGAATACAGTTACAATTGACAAATTTAGGAGAATGCTTTTATAATACTTAGCCTCTAAATGGAAAACACTTACCCTGTTTAAGAGAAACACCATCAATTGTTGTTTTTAACCATTTTAAAAATCAGTGCTTGGTGTGTAAATACTTACTCTAAAGATGCACGTTGTCATTCCTAAAGCCTGAGTAGACTGATAAATCAATATGATGAGCCAGGGAAAGATTTTGTTATTGGGATATGGTGAATTGTTTGCTTGGTTCATGAGAGGGCAGCGGGATTGCGGGAGAAACAGTGGGATTATGGGAGCTGCAGTGAACTGGAGTAGGCGATGAGAGCCAAAATGTTGCGAATTCTGTAACTTGAAATAAGTGAATTTTTAGTGAAACATATTCACAAAAGAATAACATGAAGAAAACTGCCAATCAGTAACAGTGGGGAACAGTGTGAATTAATTAAAAATTACAATAAGCAGGGTTTTTTTTCATGTGCCTTACTAATATGTATTTTATATAAAGTAATATGCATTACTTTTTTTAAGTATGGTAATGGAATACATTGCTCAATACATTTAGGACAACATATTCAGTGTTCTACACTACTGATCACTCCATCACTACTATTCAAAGTATTCTGCCCAACCTTGAGAGTGAATAATATGACAGTGTAAACCGAGAACAATGTACAAAACTACAAACAGCAACATAATTAATGCTGTGTTTAGCTAGCAAGTCCTGCAGGGATGCTAATGTAAATTAGTATTATCATAGCGGTAGTAATGTCTCGTTTTAGCACTGAAGACATACATAATTTTATGACTGTATCTGTCTTTCAATGTAAACAAAAAAGATAATAAAATTACTGGAATACCCCATTGTTGTGGGTTTATTGTATGTCTGTACAGTTGTTTTAGGATGTTATTAGTCCCGTAAGCCATTCTTCTGACTAACATCCATTATGAACAGTCACTGGAAATTGTATTAGTATTCATACATACTGTTACAAAGAGTACAATCTATGCATTATTATCCCAACAAGGTCCCCATTAAGCTAAACCCGATGTATGTTACTGATATCAACCCCAAACCCTTGTTTGTGAGTTCAGACCACACCTTCAATATATGGTTGTATGAAAAGAGGATTTATACTTTATGAGTTTTCATACAGCAATTGGAAACAGGGCTAACTAACAGGTCTGGACCATAGAGAAGGGGACAGAAAAGAGCCACAGGTGATAAGACATTAAGATAAACAGGTCAAGAGATTAAAATGTTGCTTGTTAATATAATAAAAGAAAAACTGATGTGGATTTATCTGGGTCCTCAGTTTTGATTTCAAAATGGTACTTATAGATGTGAAAGTGTTTAAAAAAACACTCTTCTGGAGAAGGATAAACACAGACCCCACCACTGTTTTGGCTTAAGTCCCAGATGTTGTCACATCATACAAACACCCATGTGAAAGACAATGACAGATACTCACTCCATTAAGAGATGATTAAATATATTGTTTATTATATAGGTTGATTTACACTTCACAACCAACTGTTTTAAAATATGGATAACATGTGCTAGAAATCCCTTTGTAATTGATATAAAACAATGCAATTATACAGTGTAGCGGAACGCAGAAGCAAAATTAAATGAGGGTGAATGTTTTGTGATACCATCCCTCACTCTATTGCTACGCTCTGAGCATGTGGCAGGCCATCAAGCTTTCTGTGTGCAGGTGATGAGGTGTGCATGCAGGGAAGAAAGGAAGACGTTTGCAGTAAATTCCAGAATTCACCACAAATGTATATGCTAGGTGAGCCTTGAACGCTGATCTGTGAAAGCTGCAAGGAACAGATTAGGACTGAAGCAATTCCAAAGGAATTAGGCGTATATTTTATAAATCACTGTTCAACTGCAATCTTTGCTTTATATCCTGTCACTGATATGCCTTTTAATAAACACAGCCAGTAAATCAGCCGTCTGCCATTACTCACTCACTCACAGCTGACTGAGGGACAGATGAGTTAGCAAACCATAAATTCTAAAAACTGCTGCTTTATTCACAGGTTTGGTTGGGGCAGCTTTGGATGTATTTGTCATCGGGCCATCGTTGAAAGAGAGTGTTTCACACAGAGGTGCTTGATGAGCTAAAACCTGGATCTTTCAGACTACCCACACAAATGTATGACAAACTGCAAATTTTAAGTCTCATCTGTATTTCATAATACCAGAATATATAGGTCATAGAAATAAACAGACAAACAGAAATACAATGCTTATCAAATGTAAAATACAGCTGACGCAAAGAACCAGAACCAGATCTCTGTCTTTCTTTCTTTCTTTCTTTCCTCCTGACAACTATTACTTAAGACGTGAGGGTAATACATTTGTTATTCTAACACATTATGCATATTATTGCACTTATATACATGTAATGTAAACAGAGATAAACATTTTGGATGATTTGGACTTCTTGAAATTCTTATGAGCACTACCATAAAGAGAAATTCAATGAGGCCTGTTGAGCACATGACAGTAAAAACTCCTACTTGTTGACGGATGTAAATGTCGCCGCCAGTTTACCTTCTCCAACTTTTTTGTGCAATTGTGTGCCTTGTTGTTCAGTTTACTCTCAATGGCGGTTTTCAAATGATGCTTTTTGGTTCACAAAAATCACTGAAAGCCTAAAGAGGCTCTCTGAGTCTCTGGCTTGTTTTTTTTTTTAAATCTTTGATAACAGTTTACTAGCATTTTCACAACATGAAACAAACAGGTGGCATCAAGATGACTGAGTTATGCTAATAAAACCTGAGTATTGTTTTGGAAGTGTTGCCTATTTGTACTTTATGGTGAGATTGGTGTCTATTCAGGCGTTTATTTACTGACTTACTGAGCTAGTCATCATGTACTGTGTTGTGGACTTACACATAGTTTGGAGTATACAAGTTATATCACAGTTTGCTGTCAAACCCTAATTGTCCTCTTCACGCCCCGCCTCCTGCATCATCAACAAGCAAACTCCTCGAAGTTGCCTACAGTCGGGTGACTAGGTAGCATGTTCGGCGCGAATCCGAGGCTGTCCGAGTGACTCCGGAGTGTGTCACATGTGCTCTGGAAGAGAAGGGAAGGGGACGGAGGGGAGAGGAGTTCAGATGTGTTGGAGGGGTGTGATGAATCAATGGCGACGGCAGATAAACACAGTGACAAAACAGAGAAAGAGACATAAAACGTTGACAAAAATTTGAGCACATGATCAGGGAAAAAAAGGTAATGGAGACAAAAGACAGAAAAACACAGACGAAGCATGAATCAGAGCGCATGTAAACATTGTATAAGTGAATATGGATTGAAAGGATTAGAGATGAGAATGTTTGTATGTTGCAGCGAGAGATGGGGTGGGGGTTGGAATAAATGGGGTGGGATATGAATGGAGGGGAAGAGGGGAAGAGAACATTCTTACTTAGTCCTGGACTTGGGACTTTTGCATGACCCCTTAAACTACATATTCATAAAATACACAGCCAACTTCATAAAAACAAGTTTAGCAGTCATCCAGTAACAAGACAGTTCAGTAAGAGCAGCAATCCAGGCCCATTTCTTTCTTTTTGGGTGCAAACTCATTGTGTGTAGACCTGTGATGTCACCACATAGGGATGCATCTAGTGATGTTACTGGACACAGGTTTCATCACAATGCCCCTGACCCAAAAAATAAATAAATAAATAAATAAATAAATAAATAATTTGCTTCTTCAGCTCCTGTGCATGTCTTTCTTTTAAGGGTGCAAGTCACAAGCTGCCAAGTCCTCTGCTCAACCACATAACTGCTCAATTACTCCATTTTAGTACACATGCTTAGATTTCTGTGCCTCTTACTCTCCTTACCCTCAAGAAAAGAAATATTGTGCAAGTAGAGAAGCCTGACACTTGCAGAATCCTGCCCTTTGCAGCCTTTCAGGCTCAAATTTTGATGCATATTAATGTCCCGCTCCACCAGTTCTAGCCCAGCAACAAAATCTGCACTAAAGGAGCAATGCTGATTTCACAGGTCGATAAGCAAGAATTGCAAGACAGTCTGGGAATTGTGAATAGCTCTATAGAACAATCATTTCTTGCATAAGTGAAATGTATTCAGCAGCCCAATCTCAAGCAAAGAAGGCTGCAGTCAGATTCAAACAGGGTAATTTTAATTAGGGGTACAAAATGTATATTAGCAGCTGAAATATTATCCATCAATAAATGGGAAAATTTAATTATTAATATGAGTCTGATATTGGAATTACAGGTAATTACTGATCATAGCAAACAATAACCTAGAACCCCTTTTTTGCTCAAGGGTGCTATTATAGTCATCCTCTGACAAATCCAAGTGAAAAAGTGTGGATGAAATGTTGGAACTAGTAACAACAAACCACCCCATGACCTTCTCACTGGATTCAATTCCTAATACATTTCTCCAAATGACCTCCACAGACCTTGCTATGTTTAGACTTCAGTGACCAACTCACTGCTTCGGTAAAATGTATCTCCAAAATGGCAACAGGAAAAAGCAAAAACATTCTTTACTTTTAATGTAAGTCGATGTAATTAAAATTTTTACATTAAGTTTCAGACCACAAATAATACAGAAAAAAAAATCTGGGAAAAACAGAAAATCTGCTTTTTGTTTCCTTTTTGGACAGCTATGACATGCTAGCATAACCTTCATGATGCTAACCAGTTTGTGTACAAGCTAAGACACTCAACACAAAACTGCTTTTTTCTCCACAAAGCCAGGAAGAACTCTGTCCTCACCGTTCTTGACCTGTTAGGTATCTCTGACACTGTAAACCTCCAGACGCTTTTCTCAGCACTCTCAGACTTGGGAATCGGCAACACTGCTCACACAGCTTCTCTTATCGCTGCTGTGCTTATGACACCCAGAGAAATGAACCAGCCTAATTTTTCTGATCACATAACAGCTACCATCAGATCCTGCAGATCCCTCAGAAGAATATGATTCTGCCCCGACTGTAGAGGCTGCTAAACTCCTTGGTCCGTCTTGACTGTACAGTCTCTGTGTTTCTTCCGTTGTGGTCTGAAGACTAACCCTTCAGACACTGCCCTAATTCCTGACTCCACACTTCACTTCTGAATAACTGTTTCAGGTATTTCATACCATTTACATTGGATTTTTTCAACAGTCCTCTGCACTTGTGTTTATTGTCTATTTCAAAAAGATGCACTTCATACATCCTGGTCTATTTGATCTGGTTACAAGATATGACGGGGCTCCTGTCTTTTAGGTCATGCAGTTTCTTCTGGGCATGTCAGGACCACATCAGCAGTTAAACTCATAAAATAACATACTATACAATGCAAGTCTGTTTTAAGAAATATTCACATTTGGTGCAGGCAAAGACAAATGAGACATGAAGCAGTCCTTTTTCTTAGCACACAGACCTACTGATATCCTTAATAAAATAGGCCTTCCCAGGTTGTTTGATGGCACTGAGGTCAGTCAATTAATGTTTTTTTTAGTGTGCAAGCATTTCAAATTGGCCTAAATTAATAAAAAAACATTCTTCCTCATTTTTTCCTCCCAACAGCCCTAAATAAATCATTTCTTTCCTCAGTTTTTCATCCCTGCTTAAAAAATTATATACATTCTTCTACAACTGAGAGGTACCTATAATGCTAAAACGTAAGGTTTGAGCACTACTGACTTTATAGGGCAAAATATGACTTTGCAAAAGATGTAGAAATAAGACACAAAGTCAGATCAATAAACAATTTCCTTGAGATTAACAGTCAAAAATCAGATGGTCTTTGTAAGCTCAAACATGTGAAACATGAAAATTCCTGTGTTTTTTAGCCTCTGTAGTTATAGTGTTGCGCATGTATGATGTATAACATGCACATCTCATGGATGTTTGGCTTGGATGTTATATAAGGAAAATCAGTGGAAATGAAAAAATCCAACAGGTAAAAGTCAAACCTGGTTTGCCTCACTAAGTTATCTATTCTTGTAACTGTTAATTCTTTATAATTCTTAGGATGTAAGATGACTTTCTTGTATAGAGTTATAGATTTGTAAAGCTTTATGCCCTTGCTTGATATTTTGACAGAAGAAATTCAACTTGGGCTCCCCCCACATGTTCAGTGTTGGGGTTTTATCTGCACATTCCAGACTATGCTCTTTAAATCCTTAAAAGCAAAGAATTATTTGCTTTAGTTTCGTTTATTTTACTTTTGTTTTGCTATACACTTTAATGAATATACTAATGGAATCATGTAGTAACATATTTAATTACACTGTGAGTTATTAATTACATTTGAAGTACTATGCAAAAGTCAAAGTTCATGCTTCATTTATTTAGTTTCCAGTATGAACAGCCACTAAGTACACAATTTGTTTCAATGTCAAGAATAAACAAAATGTGTAAAAGTTATTTCTTTCCACAAAAAACTGTACATAACAATTATGTTGCATCCTCTCATGCTTAAATCCACAAATGGATGTGGAATACATAGTTCAGAATCTGCACTTTAAGCAGAATTTGTTTCCATGAGCTAAGAATGAGAAATAATTAATATTGAATCACACCATGCTTCTGGTATCGCTGGCAAAAACTGCGACTTCTAAAAGTCAAGCATTTTTTAAGAATAAAAATAAAAATAAAATAATAGTCGTCACAAAAATGTCTGTTTCCCAAAAGCTCCAGTGCTAACTTGTGGTACTCTGTGATGATTTTATTTGCTGAAATTGAGTTTGTGTATCAAGTTCACAATGTAAAATGGTATGTTGCATATTACGGCCCAATTTGAAGTTGTTTTTTCTATATGTTTGCATGATAAACACCTTTACAGCTCAAACACTAGTTTTAGTTTTTGGGAAAGAGGACAGGACAGTGCAACAACACAGACCGTTGCAACAAAGTAGCAAAAAAATGAGGCAGGAGAAACTAATCCATCCAAGACACTAATTTGCATTACCTGAACTTGTGCAAAACATCATCTCCGTCATGAAAGCTAAAGGATTTGAAAGACCTTCCTTAGAACGTTTGGAAATGACAGCTTTCCTGCTCTAATTTACGGCTTCAAAAATAGACTTCTATTTTAAGGTGAAATCAATAGAAAAAGATTTCAAAGGGAGATGAAGAATGAAATGCTTATGAGAATGTGCTAAATTTAGGACAGATTAAGAGGATATATCTGCAGCATTATCAATGGCACTGCTACCTGGGGACATGATTAGGCGTGACAGCAGGGCTGGTGGGGTTCTCGGGGTAGTCCTGGAACACACACGATGGGGAGAGAGATGAGGATGACCAGAGCAGGTTTGGGCTCAGTTTAATTTCAATTCAGCCAGCAGAAATTCTAAATATAAGTGACAGAAAAAACAGCACCTATACAAGCACTATAAACAGTGGATTTTTCTTTTTTTCCCACTAAGCTCAAATCGATCATTTCTATCAGAAAACTGATATCCTGAATTTGCTGAATTGAAACAGAACTGACCCCAACCCTGGACCAAACTTAATGTAAAATTATACAATGTGGGGCAAATGATCCATTTATTTGTTTCAAAACAATACTGTCTTTTGTGAAATTGAATGAATAATAACATTCAAAAGGCATGAACAAGTTTAACGGACTGGGCAGTACAACATCCACTATGACACACAAGAGGCTGTATTTCAGCCGGTCCCTTAATACTTTACTTTTTCAAGCGCCATTTAATTGCAATTTTAACATCAAAAGATGTCTCAAAGATCAGTTTGTGTTTTAGAACGACAAACGTTAAAAACAGAAATGCAGCTGGTAAGTAATAACATATCCCATCCCTGAACATGGTTTTGAGCACTCACCAGTTAACAAGCTACAAACTATATTCAGAAACCTGTTTTATAAACAGTGAATGGAAACATCTGAAAATTTCTGCATATTCCATCTCATCAGATGACCTGGGTGGCTAGTTTTGTGGACTGACATTCATAGCAGCAAGTGTGTGGACAATATATATTTTTTTAAAGTTATTTTACTTTTTAAAATTATAAAAATATAGACATATCTTAGACTCAAATACTCTTGAAAACTGGATACATCCTCTTAAAGCCTCAAGCACACATTTTTACAGTGGCCACCTTTTTCATTTAATTACTTCTTTAAATTCTCAACTTTGTGCAGTTAAAGCATAAAGTCATCTCTTAAGTTACAAGAAGTGCTCACAGTTACAGACAGATCATCAAAGGTTTTCCTCCTTATAAGTTCTCCCTCTTGAACAATTTCTGCATCATTCTACAAGAAAGAAAAGCATCTAGTTACGTTTTTTGGCCAGCCTCAAAGTAAATTTTGTAGGGCCACAGGACGTGTGCCATAGGGGGCACAGTGAAACGCTTAATATAATTGGGCCTGTCACAATAATGAAATTGTAGCTGGTGATTAACTGCCATGTAAGCAACATAGAATGTATAATGCATAAATCTTGCTTAACAAAATGTAAATAGCTGTTGATGCCACTATAACAATCTAATTAGCCACTGTTATGCTTCAATTAAAAAAAAATGTGACAAGTGGACAAAGCAGTGCATTTGAACACTATCAACATCAAATTTAAATTTTTTAGTGAAAAGTGAGATGGTGACAAATTAAAATCTATAAAAGTAATGTACAAAATTATTGAAGAGACAAACTTTTGTTCCTGTGGATGGAGAACAAAAATGATACTTGGGTTTGACAGTGTTTGGTAGCAAAACCTACATCTTTGTATGCATGACTAATTATTTGAGTATTGCTTAATTTATTATTCGAGTATTGCTTAACTAGAGCTGACTCCAGCATCCTAACATAGACAATCACATCACATTTGTGCAAATTAGCAAAATCCTTCCAGGCATCCTTTACAAGTATACAAGTGTCCTTTTCTAAAATACTTTTACTGCATGTTGAAAATGCTGTATATGTTTTTACAGCTCAGTTTGTTGGGTCATACAGGGCCTTCGCCAGTTTCAATTAAGGGTAAATTTACTGGCAACCAAACGGATTAGCACCCTAGTAATGCCTTCTGATACATACATAAGAGAGTCAAGTCTTCATTCTTTACAACTAAAGAAGTCAAATTTTAAAAAACAATTTGAAAACTACACAAGGCCTGGACAAAAAAGTCCACTACGTCTAAAACTCGCAGTTGAAGATTGAGCCATGTTTTCAGTTTTGCAGCTTGCATAATGATTAATTACGCAAAGCACTGAAAGAAGGTTATCCTGGTCAAAGGAAGACTTTGTATGTTTTATGATGTTCTAAACTAACGTCTTAGGTAGTAAATTAAACCAATAAAAGTGTGATGGGGGAAAGAATGTTGTTTATTTTACACTACACTGTGAAAATGACTTACTTACTTATTAACTACTAATAAATTAGACTATAACCTTAAGTGGGATAAGTATGCATTGCACAAGTTAAGGTAGCTTATTATACTGTGAGTGACACTGCATCTGATAATAGTGTAATGTTGTAAAAGGCAAAAAAAATGTGGAAAGTTCTGGGAACTCTTTGTCTGCTGGTAGTTCAGAACATGGCCATTGTGCAAACTTACTCAGATATCTTGATCAGACAGATATATACCACTACACTGTAAAAACTTTCACCTTCAAGTAAACAGCAGTCATTTTTCTCACATTACTTTTGTAATTACACAGAAGCCAAAACTTTCATCTAGAACTAAGGTATTATTCTTCAGTCATTCAAGTGACAAAAGCCACTTCAAATCAACCACAGGACTGTTGCGACCCTGTCTGAGGAAAAAAAACAATCTTTCAAGGCTGCCCCGGATCAGAATTTGAGCCAAAGACAATATACATGCCAGCAGCATGCAACAATAAATATAGCTATGCATCAAAATAGACAGCAAATAGTCAAAATGTTAAAGAAAACTAAACTTTTGGATTCTGTCATGTTTACTCAGCTCCACCTACAGCATGCACGGGCGTATTGTATAGAAGCAGCTCAGTTACCAGATTATCGCTTGCGCTCCGGCGTGGCCGTCCCTTGCGCAGGAAGTAGCCCAATACTTTGTCCTTAAATACCTGAGAAGCAAGATTACAAAGTGGAGTTAAAATAGCATGTAAGGCACTATCAACATCAAATTTAAATTTTTTAGTGAGAAGTGAGATGGTGACAAATTAAAATCTGAGCAAAGTATGAGTCAAAGCCAAACTTTCAGGCTTAAATTTACTCAATTAGGAACATGAACAGAAATCCTGTCTATAAACTTGCTTCATAGACTGTTAAAATCTGCCGCCGAATTGTTGGCATTCAGCTGTTATTCAGCTATGAGCCTTTGTAATTTAAGTTGTTTGAATCTAAAAGTACAAAATGAATATGTTTTGTTCAAAACATGTCAACATACAAGCGGTGCCCAAAGATTTCAAAGACAAACGTGTTTCTCCTTAATCTTCTATCAAAATGAAGACTGAATGCCTGCCTATAAAACCTCACCCTCCCACTACCTCTGCCTATCGAGTGAAAATGCTCAGCCAGCTCAGAGACCCTCCCTATTTTTTCATCCATTTCTCCTCTGCTGTTAACAAACTTTCCACAGCACAATGTCTCCATGACATTGTGAAATATTATGATTGATTCAAAGATCACAAAAAAGCATGAACCAAAAAAACTTAGGTGGGTCCATCAGGCTCTGTTTCTCACTGTGAGAGAGAAGGTTCACTTTAAAATATGCACTGCTCTCATGTAAATTGCTAAAAACTAATCACATCCCTGGCTGATTAATCAAGCTTGATTAATTAAGATTGATTATTGTTAATTAAGTGATCTAGTTTAACTGATTGAACTGTGACAGCCTAAGTCAGAAACACATTTGCGGACCACTGTAGATCAGTACAGAGAAAACAGTCACAGAGAGGCATTGTACCTCGTACAAGTAGTCAAATATTTCCAGTATTGTCAGAACACTGGCTCCTATAAACAGACCCATCTGTCCACCAATGTCACCTTAAAGAAAAAAAAAAGAGTTATATAACGGAGCAATTGTAAAGATAGAAACACCATTTTACTATATACTGTGTAGCACATATAGGATGAGTTAAATTAGTTTTCTGGATACAGCACTGCTTGTATCCCACACACGAGGGACATTTCTCCTCATCAGTAATCTGCATGTTGTCTCACCAAGTAGTCCAGCCACTTCGTATGCTTTCTTCTGCTCAATCTTTTCATAGTTCAGAGCCTCAAAAAAGATATCAAGAACTAATATGTTGTCTCTGTAAAGAAATGAACAAACAGAGTTTGCTCAAATTGATTTCGAACACCAAAATGAAACAATGTTACATTCAGTATGTTTTTAGACTGGATTTGATAGTAGTTAATAGTAATGAATTGATTTTAGTAATATTGATAAATCTAAGTCGATAACACTGGTGAGTTTCTATGCAATGCAGCTGTTAAAAATATACTCACACTGCAAAGGAACTAACAGTGTTTACAAAGAGCCTTAGATGTTCTGTAGGAATATGAAATCTAATCTTAGATAAGTGGAATGGTGTTTTATGTGGCAACTAAAGAGTTTTCTTGGCCACCAACTGCCTTGTTTCATACCCAATGTATTGTTCTGTTTTGTTGAACTTCTTGGCCAGGTATTTGGCAGAAGCTTTGCTGGGTATTTTCACCATTGAAAGCTCCTTGCCATATCGGGTCATGTTGCAAGGTGTCTGACACACGCAGTAATCGTTGTCTTTCTCGACGAGAAAATCTGAAAATTTTAACAACATAAATGCAGAATCATTCATTCATTCTGACCACTAATCTTGAAGTTTTACATAACTACAGCAAGCCAAATTTAGAGTATTTCTTGTCATCTAAATTACAATAAAACTTTCAGTTGGATATTAGTGCAGAGTTAGTACAGAAATAATTAGCATTCCCTAGTGTCACCATTATTGAAAAGCTAGCCATTTTCTTAAGGCCCACCACAAGTCTTTCATCATAATGCAACATTCCCTACCAGTAATACTCATTTGTCTTAATATTTTATCAAGTTTTAATGAAAAAATCTCTGTATGGTACCTTGAGCTTTACACAAGACTTATTAAGACTCAGCAGGTGATTATGCATAGTCTGATGATTGATGATAAACTACAGTAATTTCTTCCCACATTCTCTTACCCAAGGCAGGGTCTGCACAGTCCTTATACTGCTCTGGTGTGCACACTGTGGAGGTACCTATTATAGTGTTCAAAAACAAACCACTGAAAATGCTTAGTGAAAACTCATTATATTAAAAAATCAGTACATAACTGTAGTGACAACAGTCATAAAAACAAATCTGTCCTCAAATGGTCACTCTAAAGAATGTGTTTATATATATAAATCATACAGTAAAATACAAAATGGCACATTTCATATGTCCGTACCTGGCATGTGAACCATCCTACAGTTGCAGTTCTCGAGCAGATAGCGGGTTTCACAGTCAATGCGACAGGCTGTTATGCTATAAGTGGAGAAGTACTCTGAGTCCATGGGAGCGGACCTGCAGTCGCCCCAGGGCGGCGGAAGATACTGAAGCTGAGACACACACATGGCTTTATCATTAATGGCACAACAGTTCTGTCCAAAAACAAGTCAGTCATGACCAGCCAAGCAAAGAAAGAAAAGATACTTAATAAGGAGACACATCACAGAATACCAACTGAAGGACAACGTAAAATTAATGGAGCCAGATCTAGCCGTGTTAAAGCACGTTTGAATGAAAGAAATCACAAAGAAATGTGACAGCCAGACAAACATGCGGCAAAACAGTGCTGAACATAACCTGGAGAAAACCAGAGACAGTGAAATTTCAAAGTAATATCTTTAACTTCTAAAGAAGTTTTTCAAAATTTCTGCATTATTAAGTTGCTATGACATAAAAAAAAGTCATTGAGTGTTTCATGTGGAATGGTGGATTGTAGAGAAACTTACTGACTCGATTTCTGTACAGTGGTGGTAATAGGAACCTGGGGTTATGACCTCTATAATGCAAAGAGAGCCATTTTATTTACTATCCAAAATAACCAGTGACCCTACACACTGCATTTGAGTTTTTATATTTAATGTTAATTATGGTAAAATAGTAGTAAATTTGAACAAATATATCTAATTTGGGGACCATTTTGCCTTATACTCCCTTGCATGTATTTAAAAAGGAGTTTTTTAGATCAAAACCTTATCACAAACATATAATAAAACCATATCTCAAGCATCAGACAGCATATTCATAACCATTTTATGTAATACCTTTCTGTGATGTAGCTTTTAGAGGCATTAAACTCTTCAGACGTCTGGTTTCTATCACCACCACTGCAGACAATTCTAACTTCACAGTGCTGAGCATTTCACATCAAACCTACCAAAAAAGTGAATAATCCAAAATTCAAAGACCCCAAGACTGGGGCAGTACTGTTGCTCAAGCTATACTGACAGCTTAACGCACTTGGAAGACAATGCTAACCGCTCAATACATTACCTACTAGCTGAATGCAACTGGTTAGCAGGACTAAACCATCCACACTAGACACCTCAGACATCAGCCACTACCAAACATCATGCTGGTTTCTCCTCTACCACTCCTGAAGATTCAACCCTTTCTCTCCAAGGAGGCTACCCATGTCTTCTTCTGAATTCTCCCATGTTACTTCTCTTCAGTACCCTTCACTGGCTTCCTGTAGCTGCCCACATTTATAACCCTAATGCTTGCCTACAAAGCCTAAACTGGTCAAGCCACTCCCTACCTGATGGCAATGGTCAAACCCTGAACTGCACCTTGTGCCCTCAGATGACCAAGTACAGCTCAGCTTGACCTGCCACCTTTAAAAATCAAGCATCAAGAATTCATCTGAACCAACCTTTTCTGCCTGTCCAAACAGTCCAAAAGAGTGCCTCTCTGGCTTCAAAAGCAGACTGAAGAGCCATCTCTCTGAAAATAAACACTTATCTTGCACTGAAAAAAGGTAAAAAGGTTTTGCAGTCTTTGTGTATTGTGTATTAGTATATCTAGGTAGCAGAAATGACTCCTGTTTCTGGCAGTGTCATATCTCAAGGGTGTCTTTAGACCTTTGCTTATTTGCACAAGCGTAAGCCCACATTTATTCAACAAATCACTTTCGTAAGTCACTGTGGATTAGAATGACTGCTTAAGTAAATCTAAATGTAAATGTACACTCACTGAAGGCATGACCATGCTGTTGTGAGCTCTCAACCACGGATCGCTATATTATCACTAGGTGACAAACAGGACAGGGTACAACCCTCACAGCTGACTGTGCCACTCCAGAGCTCTCCTGCACATCTTTTTTGTATAATGTGTGATGGACCTTTCAAAATACAGAATTTCTGTATTTTACATGACCTTCAAACCTCGCGAGCAGTACTGAAACAAAAACATTCTCGTACAAAACTGTGTGAAAATCTAAGAGTTTTTGTTCACAAACAGAAAACAATTATTCAATTAATCACAGGTATGAAAGACAGTGAAGACAAAGCTGCTTATTTAGCTGATAACGATCAAAAAGGTGCCAATGCCACAACATAGCTGCCATGCAAAAGAGCGCATGGGAGACTTTTCATTTGATCTGCCACAAAGAACCACAGGCTGATAATCAAAAATGGAAACACTAGAGGAAATGAGAACCAGTGTGCTGCAACTGCCAAACGAGTCATTTATCTGACAACGTGACAAAGTTTGTTTCATGCATAATGAATATGCAGTCTGCAGTGTATTTGGTTCACAACCAGTATGCAGCTTCCTCAAAAGCATCATAGCACAAAGACCATCGTTAAATAGCAGCGCGAGTATCACTTTGACCACTCCCTCTAGTTAAGATGATCGTTACGATGCTTTTGAGCAAACTGGGTAAAGTCTGTTGCATGCAAAAACTGGTTGGAGATGTTGTCCCATACACTACCCTTTGCTCTTGTGTGGACACAAAGGTTTGGAAACCAGGGGTGACCCCGAATCCCAGCTCATTGAGGAAAGGTGGCTCGGACTGTGAATGAACCTGCACTTTAATGCCAGCCTCATAGGACGTTTCATCTGGGAGAGTGAGCAAACACAACCCTAGATTAATGCCCCCAACACTGTGGATTATGTCTTGGTGACTTCATGGGAATGCTGTAAAATGATATTTTGTTGACTTTTTTGCATGCAGAGGTCACAGAGCTAAAATGAATTTATACAAGCTAATCATCAAAAAGAAATCTTGCTCCCATTCTCTTCAGACACTCAAAGACATAACTGACTCCAATTCAATGATCCACAGATCCAATAATGGAATCCAATAATGGAATTAAAAGCATTTAAGAAACTGTTATCAAGATATGTAAGTAATAGGCTGCTTTGAGTGATTATCAATTGGCTATAATTTTGATTAAGGTTATTAATTCAAGGTGTGTTGATAATTCTAACCAGTGCTGCGACTGACTGGTATAAATTAACTGAAGAAGCTGTGTGTGATAACATCTTAACTGAAGAAATGATTTTATGTGCTAAGTCAATGAATCCTAATTTTGTCTTTACCCTCTTAAGTGGACAGTGTCACTTGTGTCTCTTTTAAGCAGTGATTGATTATTCTCCCATCATTGCTTTGAACACTCAGCACTGGAATTAAATGAGTATAAAAGACCATGGCTCCCCAAGTTAATATGCTCAATTTGGCCCACAAAGCAATCCTGTTTGGCCTGCTAGATGACATTCAATTTAACAGACGCAAATTTTTTATACATCTGGAATCTGCCCAGAGAGATGGACATTTCCATAATTTTGCCATTGTGCTGGAGTGCTAAAACTTTCGAACATTCTTAATGTATTTTGTGGTGGTAAAGGGACACATCACTATATAAAATATGAGGCATTATTTTGGCCTTACTATGTTATAAACTGACTGATCATAACAACAATCCCAGCTCATTCACTCACTGAAGCCAGCAATTGTGCTGTTTCTGGCTCTGTTTTTTTTCAACTACTGTGAAACATGGCTCCAAACTGTATATTTACTAATGGTTTACTCACTGGCTAATAAGCACCATTCAAAGACAAAGTGGACCTCAAGCTGTAAAATATCATCAGCTCAACAAAAAACAAAAAGAACATTAAGATTTCAATAATACAGTGTATAGTGCAAACTCAGATTTTAAAATGTTTTTTGCTTTGTTCTGTTTGTTTATACATAAACAAGATACTTTGGTAACACTTTACTGAAGGGAATAAGGCTTCATAACACCTACATAAATATCATTTCACCACAGAAAGTGTCATGACAACCATATGTCAAAAAAAATCTGTCATCTCACATAAGGGTTTGGGTCTACTTGACATCAAAGATGACAAAAAGTAATCTTTATGACAGATGGCATCTACTGGAATAAACCTTTATTAAAATGTATGCTTATACTCATCATGAAGGGCTTATGTAGGTATTATGTAGCTTTATAAACACCTTTTCAGTCAAGTATTACTAAAGCGATGTTGGACGGTCATAGAGGGTTTATTTCTTGAGGATTTATTCTACAAAACATATCGTGGGCCTTATAACATTATCTAATTATTTTCCCATGGTTCAGTTCTGAACTCAGGTCTGTCTTTGGTTTTCTCCAGATCTGTAATGATTTTAATGGAGGGAAAGTGCTGAGCACGCAGGCGAGCAGAGATAGCAGTTGAGAATGGGATGTGTTCAATAGGCTTAGCGTTAGGTACCAGTTGCTGCTGACAAGACACAAAAGTTTGAAAACCAGGGGCCACACCAAATCCCAGCTGGTCTATGAAGGGTGGCTCATCCTGGCTGTGGATCTGAACTTTGATGCCTGCTTCATACGAGGTTTCGTCTGTGGGGACAGCATGCCAGGGAGTTAAACTTTACAGATCTGACAATGACTTTACAGAGGGAGGAAAGTGGTCCTATGTTCCTCTGAAAGGTACTGGTTCATAGATATACTGTATAGTTGAATGCTGATGTAGCACAATACACCGTGGTACTTCACATCCTGTAAACAGCATTTGGATGAACATTTGTCATTAGAGTTGCAAGGAGCATGAACATAAATTTAGGCAGTAATTTTGTGACATTTCGTTCTTGTGCATGGTTAACATCACAGTAAATTTTCATATTCACAAAAGATGCTGTTTTATAACAGTTTTCCCCCCATATTCTTGTTCAAATGTGTGATTAAACGGAATTGGGAAAAGATGGATGTGATGGAGTAAACATAAAGGAAACAGAGCACAGCAAATGGGAAAAAGATAGTGATGACGCTTAGGTACACTCAGTCAAAATAAATGAGGAAAGCAGTACAATGAAAGCCAGAGGTGTCTGGCTACCTACAGATCATAGATCAGTTTAGAGGTAAGAGGATTTAGGTAAGGCTGTGAGTTATCCCATCAAAACATGTCATGGATCGCTAGCTTTCATGTTACATGCACTCTGTCTTTGAAGTTCCCATATGACTTTTAATGAGTGCACCATCAGACCAATGAAAGGCAAATTCTGATAGAATCCAAGTGTAATAGCAGACCTTCATGAATGATTAATGCACTGTAATGATTAGGCTGAAAATCCATTCATCAAAAAAGCAGAACAATAGCCATTAGCACAGAATTTAGATTGGGCCATGCTGCTAACTTGCTCATTTAGTGATTTTCAGTAGCTCAAACATACTAAATGATTAATTAAAGAAATGGCCCACTACTGACCCAGCTAAAACTACACTTTCAGAGTACTGTACATTTCCAGCACATGAGTACATACCAATAAATAAAAGTATTAAAAATGTATATATTCAGTGCAGTCTGTAAGTAATTGGATAGCACATTGGATTTTAAATAAAACAATGGCAATGGAGTGCAGAACACCTTCTTTAATTCAGCGGTATTTATCAAGGTGAACTATAGTGCTACTGTGTGAAAGGCAGAGATCACCTTTCATTTATTTAACCGCGAGTCAAAAAAACATTTTTCAGCACTAAAAATTACATGGAAACTTCTACAACTAAATATAATGCCAAAATTTTCAGTATTTAGCGTGTCCACACTTTTTCAAATAAAGTTTTTCAAATAAATCTGCAGAGAGATTTTTCCCCAGACCTTCAAAGTTAAGTCTTAGAAGCTAGTACCATTTTGTGCTTTTCATGATTCAAGTAATCCAATACACATTTAATGAGGTTGAGGTCTGGACTCTGGGGTGGTCAGTCTGTTGTTCGGAGAACATCAGCAGCTTCTTTGTTTGATGTGTAGATTTTATTCTTTGCCTATTTCTGTTTCTCATTAACAGCTTCTTGACAGCTACACATCCTTTACACATCTTTCATAGCCACAGTCTTGAGTTGCCTGTCTCACTGTGGACAGGATGGACAGAAATTTCTGTGGATTCTTTCAGATCTGAAGCAAGAGTGGAGATTTTCTCTTCTTTCTCAAAGATGAAAGCTACTAAACACTGTTTATCTGATGGCTACAGTTTTGTGGTCTACCAGGTCTATCAGAACATTTCCCTTCCTCATCCATGTGGATTATCTTACATCTGATCTCAGAAATATTTCCCGAAAAACGAACTACTAGTATTTATTAGCAAACTAATGCAGGGGGCCTCTGACTTTTGCATAGCAATGTATGTAGTAATCATGGTGCCATGATTAACAAGGCAATGCAAAAACTGTAACATGAATAAACAATACTGATTAAAGACTATTTTCAAACTTCAAAAGATTAAAAGTGGGTTCCTTATGTATCTATTTGTTTCTCAGCATTGGAGATGCCTCTATTGTAAACGATTCATAATGCCAGCAAGTGGCATGCATTTTTCAAAACTCAAGAAAATTTGGGTAATGACATTTTGCAATACAATAAAACGTCTTCTAGGGCATGCATGTTTAAAGTTTCTGAAAACATTAATCTTTTTTTTTAGTGCTACATTTTTTTATTTTTGTATTTTTTATTTTACTGAAAAGAAAAATGTATTGCAACCCCTGAACATAATATTATATATAAATAAGGCTTAACTGACTGACTGATTCTCTTGATTCAGCTGTGAAAGTATGAGAGGATATGACAGATGTGAAAACAGCCACAATGAACAATAAATGAGCTCTTAATCTACTCATCTTTTTAAAGCATCATTAACAATTCATTATAACACAAATGCACTTTAACATTTAATGTCAGGCTGTTGATATGCATACTATTCCGTAAAAATTTTTTTTAGAAACTACAGTGCAAGCTGAATTGCACTTATAGACACTGTACTCCCTTACACAGCCTTCTGCCTCTAAAACAGCAACTGTTTTAAAGGACTCATGTGTACACACGTGTGTGTGTTTAGTATGTTAAATACTTACCTGTGTCTCCCCACACTGGCAGGTATTCATCTTGCTGAATATCCAGCATTATCTCCAGCCCATTGCCTGTGCCACCTTTTAATGTCGTCAGCAAAGGGTTGCCATCCAAGCCTGAGTTAAAAGTGTAGCATTTGCCATATCTTGTATAAATCTGAAGACAGACAGAAAAAAAGGAGGTATTTGGTAACGGACAGGGAATTTGTATATCTTAAGGGTGCGATTTGATTAGGCTTGGAATTGGCCAACACTCACTCCTTTTATGTGGTTGACAGGTTTTATGTGGTTGACCGCTGTGCTGCGGTTGTGATTTTATGACATCAACAATACAAGCCAGCTACACATGTACATGTTACATTTGAATGCTTTTGCGATACTTTGCCAAACATGTTTTTTGGAAATTTCACAGTACATAAAGACCTTCTGGGTTTCATATTAGATATTTCATTTAGCCTCAATGGGTGAGCTTTAGGCATAGAGCAAATTAATAACGAAAAATAATAAAATAAGGACTGAAGATCAGATTTGGAGTATAGAGAGGCTGCCTCCAAAACTCCAAAACCACATGCTACTATACCATATATACCACACTAATGGTGGTGTACCAATTTGACAAAGTCACTGGCTTTTACATGTTCTGTCTGTAGTTGGTCTGTGATTGGTAAGTTGGTCAAATAAACCACTGACTCAAAATAGACTCAATGGCTAATCTGAACATTACTTTTTATGCCATCAGATATCACATATGTCCAAATAGGCTGCAATAAAAATTCTATGCTACCTCATATACTGCTGTCAAATGTATCTATATATGTATATATACAATTTTGAGTTGTGGAAACTTACTTACTTAAAATTTAACTTTTGGACATTGATATTGTGTCTAACGAGTTCATCCACCCACTTAACTTCAAAAACATGTAACACTGCCATCAGCCACTCTAGTCTTCATAATGCTAAACTCAACACAGCAAGGTGAGAGAACTGGTACTGAGAAGATGAAGCTCTGTCATGCTTTCCTGATTCCACCAGAACACTAATGAACAGAGCAGAGCCTTCACATCTAGTGCACTGCCCCCTCTGAGCTTTAACAAGGACCCTCTGGACTCCTCCTCAACACTTCTTCGGCAGCTTTTAAATGACTCCCTGCCCACAAGTGAAGCCAAACAAGGGAGGCTTTTCAGACAATTTTGTTTCTGTGCATTTGAGGTGCCTTTTTTATTCTTTGCAAGCTTCCAATCAGGTACAGATAAGTTTGTTCGTTTCCCCACTTACGACCACTGGAATAGCAAATCAGGAGGCATTTTAAAGATGTAATCTTTTGAATCTCAATTAAAATGGCCGAGATGAAAGATAAGGCAATGTCCTTGTCAGCATATTTTGTGGGTGGTAATGTGTTACGAATGCGGTGCACCATCTTGCGCTGAAAAAATCATGGCTTGCTAAAACACTGAGAAAATCAATGCTTTGCAAAACTTAAAATACACTCAATTAAATAGATGGTTGACTCTTATAACTGTACCTGCGGTTTCATATGTTTAAATGCCAGAAGGGATTTTAACATTATTACAAATGCAAATAGAATAATAAGGAAGGATTTCCTAGAGGTATCACATTATTGAAGAGAGTCTGAGGGGAGTTTTGGCTGTGGGAGATTTTCAGCTCATCTGTGCACAGCATGAAAAGATGTTCAATTATTCATGTCTTTTCCACCCCAGAAATTTGTCAGGGTGCAGTTTGAATGCAGGTTGGTGTTGTTGCAAAGATATGCCTCAGGGTATCTTTTCGGAGCCTTCCAAACCTGTCGCCTAGGAAAAACGTTAAAGAACAGGAAAGACTCAGGCTAGTGCCAAAAGCAGTCAACTGTGGTGCCAAGAGCATTTCTAAGTGATTAGGACTGCTTAGGACTGCTTCAGTCAGCACAGTTAGGAAGAAAACCCTCATGGAAAGAAACCAAACAATACATAGAGAAATACAGTGTAAAAAAGAATAATTTATGGTATTAAAACGTGTAAAAATTTTCCTTTTACTGTGAAAAAACATGATGCACATACACATAAATGTACGTACTGTAGTGAAGTTCTTGTAAGTGCAGTTTTCCCCTCTGAACCTACACTCCAGAAGCATGTCCTCCAATTGGTGGCCCAGTCTGCTGATCATCTCTGTGGTGTTCTGCTCGTAGTGGGCAGATGGTCTGTAGTCGGAGAAGTCCAGCAGCTGCATCATCCTCTCCCTGTGGCGACTGTGCTTAAGCATAGCCACACTCTGCTTGTTCATTGAGTGGTTAAGATGCATGATGTCCATCCAATAGCCGCTGTAGTAGAGGTCCGCTTTAGTGAGGCTGGACACGCGAAAGAGATTCTGGTTGCACAGTGTGATGGCTGGAAATGTCATGTTGTGCGCCCAAACCATGTAGATTTTTGTCACGGCAGGGTAGGAGAGAAGATAGAGCACACGGTTCCATGACCACGTGAACAGAAGCCCCAAGCAGACAAAAATGGCCAAAAGCCAGAACAAGCGCCGAGCCCTTGATTTATCAGGGGCAAAAACATACTTCAGCCCGTGTACCTTGGTTCTAAGCACAAACGCCAAAGTTATATTCTTGGCGTTATAGGTCTCAGCTACGCTGCATTTTCTCTCAGAGTTGGTATGCAGAGCTTTAGACCCATTATTTATGGGTTCTTCAACTGATGGTAATGTCACCATAGTTGGAGATCCCTTGCAGGCACTCCAAATTTTCAAAATGTAGCATGCATGGCCATCACTTTGAATAATTGCTTGTGGTTTGGTGGAATAGGGGTTTGCGACTGATTTAAAAAAAGCAAGCAATCAAACGCACAACCCTTCTCCAAGAAGAGGAAAAGCTGAGAGACAGATACTGAAATAAAAAACAAACTCAAAACAAAAAAAGCTGCTGCACTGACAGAATGGCACAGCTTAATAACATGAAGACTTTCTCAAAGGCTTTTTATTAAGACACTTTCTAATAATAGAAAAGAAACAAATCAGTCTGTACATTACCAAGCTCAAGGTCCGACAACACTCATAAGATAGATAGATGTACTCATGTGTAGTGGTCCATTGTATCTCTAGCAGTCCTGAGGTTCCAGAGGCAATCTGTCGGCTGAAATCAACATCTGTGTTTTTGTTTTCTGAAGTAATCGGAGAATCCTTACTTTAATTCCTCCCCACCTGCTTGCTCCTGGAGAAAGACTGTGTATGGCTGCAGATTCTTGTTGCTTTCCTTTTGTGTGAGGTAGCTCAACCCCTCCCTCCCTCGCTGATTTTTCTGCCGATGGATTTGCAGCAGGCATAGAGATCCACATTTTTGGCTTCTTCTTGCAATGCCAACTTGAGAAATTCAACGGTTTTAATGTTTCATCTCAACGCAAGTAGAGACAGTGACATCCTTCCAAGAAAAAAACCCAACATAAATCCACCTGTTATCAACCCATGGCAAACATAGTATATGTGTTTATATATATACCTGACTCCTAATTCAAAAACTGAGTGAAATAATCTAGTAATTCATCACAAATACACAAAAAGGTGAGCAACAGCTTCAAGGTAACAAGGTCTTTGGAATTGTAATGGCCTAATATGTCCATGTTTCCTAAACTGTGAAGCATACAAAGAAATAAACTTATTAGTTGTACACTATAACCTCATATCCTCCAGTTTCTTTTTCAAAAATTAAAAAAAAAAAAAGAACTAGATTAAACATCAAGCATCTTGGTCTATTGTACAATGATCTTTACTTGATTGTTTGGTCTATCCTTTTAACACAGCCAATTTTTCCACTTCACATTTAAGAACAAGAACTGACACAAATGGGAACCAATGGAATTTATTGTTCCAGTTGTAGTTCATGTTCCGTCTACTTGAGAGCCTTGATAGAACCCCAATTACCTCGTTAATAACCACAGTTAGCAATTTAATTGTCTTTTTGGTCACGTTATGCCCCTCTATTGACTAAAGACTAATGGACTATTAACAACCTTGGTTACTAGTTATGGTAAACTATATAGCAGTAATGATGATGATAGTAATAATAACAAAGATAAAATAATCTATAAAATAATAATAACAACAACAACATGAATCAATGTTTTACACTGTCCTGCACTCACACAAAAATGTCAACATTTACAAAGAATGTGTAGAATCAAGTATAGCTTCAGTTTTTCTGTGTCGAGGGTAAAAACACGAGTCAAAACATTTGCTAATAATGTTAGCGCCAGCCTACTCTTTATAAAGTAATAATTCTAAAAGTATTACTCTATAAAGAGTTTGCTGAGGTGACAACCCAGGCGATAAACTAGAATGATATGAGACATATTCAAGAAACGTAAACTAGAAACATATCCTAGTTTACATTTTGGCGCATTTACTGGTGATGTAATAAGTGCTTGGTGATTTATCTTCACCTGAAATAGTAAAGAATTTGCTACATTTTTGTCTGCTTCAGAAGTGTTACCAAAGACAGAGAACCCTTTCGAGTACCTTTAGGTCTTGCTGGTACCAATAAAACTGGAACCTTCGGTACTAGATGCAGTTTTCTAGTGCCAAAGATTCCAGTACTTTAAGCAGTGGAAAATGCACTTAGAGAACAGTGATTTACTGTATTTATAAAAGACATATAGCAGTCATTGTCTGCAGGATCTAACAGCTTAAATTAAGTCACTAAAAATGCAGAACAGATGGTTTTGAATAATATTCTCTTGTGTGGGCTGCCATACATCGCCACTGTTGCACTTTCCCTGCTGTGACCCAAGCAGTATCTTTCAGATGCCTGCACTATGTCCCAGTCTGATACTTTATGTCAGAATGAAGTGTTTGTGACCCTTTTTTCAGTGGTTATTTTACAGTGTATAATATCGGAATAGTTTGCTTTTAAAGGTGTCTTTCCTCAAATACAGTCTCATTCTTTTTTGTACTTTCTTTATACACACACAAGTTGCAAGAGAAACAAACTATAAAATGGTTATTAATTACAGGAATTACCACTGCAGTCTGCATCAGTCCTGTTTTTTTACGCTTCAACTGATTTCTATTAAAGCAGAGTATTAAAATGGTCTGATCACAGATTGCTTTGAGGAACACTCCGCTTCCTCTGTACTCTGTATGTAAGAAAGACTCTGTAATGAATCTATACAAACCTGCTACTTAATGACACCTTCGCAATGCAATGAATACATAATTTTTTTGTTGAATAGAGTCATGGAGCGGACAAATTGACAAACGTCTATAAGCATCAGATATCTTTAAACCCCAAGCAAACATCTCTGTTTACAGACATCTTTAAGCCCCTTCAAAGCCACAGGATTTAGCCCCAATTACTGATTTCTGTCCTAAACCTGTAATCCTACAGTTTATAAATAAAAAGCTGGCAACGCTTAAAATGAAAAACTTCAGTTATGTATGCTCTGTATCAAAAGCATGGCATGATATATATTTCATGTAAAAAGCTTTATTATAGGACTAGTAACCTGGTAAATTCATGACAGAGTTCAAGAGACTACTTTATGATCTCATATGTGATATAATGTATGAATTGGCCCAGCCTCTACCTCTGAAGCTACAATTTCTCACGGCTTGAGTTCTAAGCTTAATTCAGCGAGCCTTACCACAGGCTAAATGCAATTGACTTTTTGCCTTGTGGAAAATTGATCAGCACCATCTAGTGCTGAAACGATTGCTGCTGCCAGTTCCATTCTAAAATTTAATCTAACTAGTTTCAAAGTACTGATCAGCTATCAAAACTTACACACACAAAGGAATGTGTGTTGTTGCACATTCCTCTTAACCCCCCGCCATGCCTGCCATGCGCGCGCACACACACACAGATACAGTTCCAGTTCAACAGCACTTATGGCCTCATGAGGATCTGACAGTTGCTTGATTTAGACAGTCCTCTTGCTTGCCAATCCCTCAATAAGGTCATCTGTTGGGGTCAATCCTATTTCAATCCAGCCACTTGAAGAGCTCAATGTCAATACAGTTCATTAACTGAAATTACATAAAAGTTACCAGGAATTTCTCCACTTGCTGCTGTAATAGCCCTCTAACTCTCCCACTACATGACTAGACCACCAATTTGTGGAGAGCCAAGGCTACTACACATCTCTCCTAACATGTCAGAAGCTTTCTAGTGCATCTTTTTAAATTATTGACCATAAGGTAATGCTAGCATTTCAAAACACGTAGAAAAGAAAATACAGCCATTATGCAGACATGATATCCCAACGTTAGCATGTTGAGATGGGGAGAGTGCCCTGTGTTGTATCTTAAAGGTCTTAAAGAGGGAAAAAAGGGGAATTCCATCAATTCTTTCATACATTTCTTAACAATTTTGAAAGAAAATCTGAGTCAGTAAGTTTCTCTACAATTGACAATTTCACATCTAACCACTCTGAATGACTTTGTTCACATCTCAATCACTGAATTAAGCAGAATGTTGTCCCCTTTTTAAAGAGGGATGTAGCAAAATCAGCCACCAAAAAATAATCAGTATAAACAAAAAGACAACAAAATAAAAAGATTATATAGACATACATTGATGTGCCAATATCTAAGATTTTACAAATCAATGGTAATGAGAAATAGGGATTAAAAATGCTGTTTGTTCACTCTCCCTGCACTGCTCAGCACAGACTTGTTTAAACAGTTTGAGCAACAGCAGAGTGATAATCTCTGTACATGCCAGGTAACAAGAGGGGGTACAATGACCAAAAACTTCTTCACTACAGGTTTGATACCACTACATCATCCTTGATACACCGAAAAGAGCTTAACAACAAAGACAGCAAAGTCCCTACTAGAATGCTAATGCCATCTGTAATCAGTGAATTTGAAAAGGCAAAAAACTAACAAACAGCAGTGCCAAGGTACAAAGTCTAACTAAAATAACAGCATTCCTTGCCTTGGATGAGCAACCATTCTATGTTGGTGAGAAAGCTGGATTTCATAGCTCATACTGTAGACTACATACATACTCCAAGGATTTTCATTGTAGTGCCTCACGTGTCTTCAAGTAATTAAATAGATCTTGAGCTGGATTCTTCATCTTTATTCTTTAAGTTTAAGGAATTGGTGTCCATATTTTGTCTTGCTGGGTCTTGATTTTCTTAGAAAATAACTAAAAAGTCTCTAAGAAACTACTAACATACCTTACTGTCCTGATCGGGAGTTACGAAAATACTTTCGCAAAAAAATAAATAGACCAGAAAACACACCAAGAAGTACTAGCCATAAAGATTTTGATATTTTTGTAGTATGGTATGCACTTGGGTAAACACCTATTTTGGGTAAACTGAATGCGCAGTTAGAAAACATCAGCAAAATATGCCATTGGATGACTTGGATCCTTGAATGTTCTGTAATTCCACTCCAGTACTGTGTTGCAAAAATGCCCTTCTCAAAATGCCTGACTCTGAGAGGATGAAGAAGTGAGGAAGTATGATCCCACCAAATTTAAGTCTTGTTGAAAGCTTTAAGAAATTGATCACCTTCTCTGCAGTCATACTACTTCAGACAGGAATAAGCACACAGAGAAATCCATCTTTCTACTTACACAAGCATAGTGCATTTTTCACTAGTTACAATGTTAACTAAACTAATTAGTCTCCAATGATTTTCTACAGAAGACAACCTTAGTAATCCAAGTGAGTGACATCAAATGGTTGTGACAAATGGAGTTGTATCAG